AGCAACATTAGACATACTAGAAAAATGTAACATTGCTGCATGTTTGCATACTAATTACACTTAACCTTGTTGCCTATTTGCATACTAATTAAACAAACTAGACTTAACCTTGTTGCATATTTGCATAACTAATTATACACCATACTAATTAGACTTAACCTTGCTGCCTGTTTGCATAACTATAGATTCTGCCATATTATAATATCTTACCACTTGCTGCATGTGTATACTTGATTTTGTGTTCCTTGCTTTGAGACTCTTCTAATGGAGCACACGAGTAATAAATTTGTATTGTTATTTAATAATTAGTTGTTGTTCACTTTTGTTGATTTTGAATTTGCAAAAATTCTAGGGAACTACCATCCATGTCACTATCCGAAGAAGTTTGGTTGGAACTTTTGAGAAGCGAATAAAGAAAGGCCCTGTGTATGTCTTTTCCTATTTTGGAATCGGCATTAATGGTGGATATTAACGCACCTCACGACATGAGTTTAGACTAAATTTCCAACCAAGAACCACTGTTACTGAATGTAGTTGTGAGAAAATACTTGTGCATGGCCTTAGGTTAACTACTTTTCCAGAGATTTTGCAAGCAAACTCGAACTACCCATGTTTAGTTGGTAAGAAATCACTCACTAATCCAAAAATAAATCAAATCTAAGAGGTTTAAGATGATATCTTATATTTGAAAAAATTACAGACACTATGGGGATCCTAACTGATGTGGGCAAGCAAAAAGAAATAGTGACAGAGTCCAAGAGGACAAAGATGATCGTGATTCAGTTAGAAGCAGATGGGTAGTATATTTTATAAAAACTTAATACCAACAATGCTATGATTATTAAATGTATACATGTTTAATGTATTCTACTCTTTGTACTTGGTAATTCAGGGTGACATTGGATATTACACTATTTGGGGAATACGTTGACAAGATCAAAAGTTTTTTTAGAAACAACCATTAGAAAATGAGATCATTGTGATTCAGTATGCAAAGGTCAAAACTTTTCAAAGTACTACGAATGATTATATACTACTCCCTCCGTCCCAATATATTTGTCCAGTTTGACTTTTTCAAGTCAAACTGGACAAACTTTGAATTTCAATTAAATAAAAACTGTAATGTATTTTAACATAAAAATAACTTTATTGGATTTATTGTATTAAAAATTTTCAAAATTGTATTTCATTATGCTAATATCCAATATAAATTGAGAGTAACTAGAGTTCAAAGTTTGTCCAGTTTGACTCGAAAAAGTCAAACTGGACAAATACACTGGGACATATGTAGTATATACAAACTTTATGTTAATTATTTTAATGAAACCATGTCACGATCCTTTGTGTTATTATGAATTTAAAACTACTCATGTGGAGAATATGCAGGAAATATAATTTTGCAAAATGCTATGTACGAAACACATCTCCTATTAAATCCAGAAATAGAAGAGGTTGTTGCATTCAGACCAAGGTTTGTTGATTCACATCTCTTAAAAATTTTACATGCACTATGTCTATATGTCATATGTTCATTCTCTAATTATTAGAGTATATAACAATCATTCCTAGGCCACAACCACAAGTTTGAGCTTTTGGTTGAATTGGTTCCTTAACATAGTATCGGAGCCTTGATGACCAATAGGTCACGAGTTCAAAGCTCACTGCCACCTAGTCAAAAAATTAAGGTTTCATGTGCAAGGCTCAAAGAGGTCACGTCTGCACGTGAGGGGACGTGTTAGAGTACTGGGCCACAACCACAAACTTGAGCTTTTGGTTGAATTGGTTCCATGACACTAATCCAGTACAAATAACACATTTGCTTAAGGGTTAATGGTGTGGCATCCCAACATCAACCTCTTAAGTTGCCATGTGATGACATTACAGTTGTGGAGCAAAATGAATTTTTAGATTCAAAGCAAACTACGACAATATCTTTGCTGAAGGATAGTACTGAGGTATTGATGACATTTTTTAAAATCTTGCACCATCAAACTAAGAGTACATTATTGTGATGATTTTGCACATACATTAATACGGAGTATATGATTTCTACTCTAACAGGATGGTACCTATGTAGTGTATGCCACTATTGTTTCTGTGAACAATAGTGGGGATTGGTTTTATTTGGCTTGCAAGTGCAATAGAGCTGTGAGAGCTGATGGTACCATGTACTATTGCATGCATTGTGTGTGTCGTGTTATGAATGTCACCCCAAGGTTATGTTTATCATTCGTTGACTTTCCTCATATTCACCTTTATTTTTTATGTATAATATACTAAATCTATTTTTAATTTAGATATCTAATCAAGCTATCTGTTAAAGATGATTCCGGCACAACTAACTTTGTGTTATTTGACCATGAAGCCTCTTCTATTTTAAACATGTCATGCTCCCTCTTGTTGGAAAAGACAAATGGTGTATGTATTTTTTATTTAATATATTTTATAAATTTGAATTGTTTTATCCTTGAGCAGCTAATATCTTTCATTTTACATAAACTGAAGGACAGAAACACTAAAAATCTAAAAGAGTTTGTTGAGTAAGAGTTTTCTATTTAAATTCGAAGTCAGATCCATGTTTAAGGGACGTCTTGAGCAATCTTTCAGAGTATCAAAAGTGTGTCATGATGAAACCATCCTAACCCAAAGCTATTTTGCCCAAAAATAATAAAAACAACTCCATGAACCATGGACAACTTTATTCTGTGGATGAAGACTTTGTTAAACTTACTAACGCGAGAACAATAGAGTCATTAAAAGATTTTACTGAGGTTAGTTGAGTATATTACAATAATTGCATGTGTAGCTCTCTAGCATGTAATGGAAAAATTTAACTGAGTTTTGATCTGTAGGATGGTGATATGGAGTATATGGTACGATCAAGGATGTTGCTTCTCATTGGTTTACCACAGTGTATAGGTGTGGGTCCGAAGTGGTCCCACGCGGTGGATCCTATTATTGCAATGACTATATGAGACGTGTGGTGAATCTAATCCCAAGGTTTAATTTTTGATAATCTCCAACACTTATTAATTTATGTTAACAATCTTTCTATTAACTAAATCATGAAACAATTACGAAACAGGTATCAGATGAAGACAAGCGTTGTTGACACAACAGACAGTGCTACTTTCATAGTATTTGAAAATGTTGGATGTTAGTTTCTCCATAAATCGTGTTCAAATATGATGAAATATTGTGAGGTATGTCTATATGTGATATTAACAAATTATCTCCAACCTGTATCCTAATTTAAATACTTGGAACATATTGAGCCATTCATTCACATGCTGTATTAAACACGTTCATGGGCTGCAGTTTTAAAAAGGGAAGGCTGGAAACTTCCATTACCTCCTCTGTATCATATGTTATCTCAAATAGTATACACCCTCTGATTTTATATATCATAATCTGTAATACGCTGCAGTTTTTTTAAGAAATGGCAGGACTCAAATTAGTTACAAACTTAAGGCTTGAATTTACGGAAGAGGAATATAGGTTTAAATACATCTATGCAAGTAAAAGATTCAAATTAAATTCCTCTGCTTATATACACTTTTATTGTAGGACAGAATTTTTAAATAAAGGCTAGACACTTTCATTATCTCCACTCTATCGTTAGTTATCTCAAGTAGTCTACACTGTCTAATTTTATGTATACTAATTAGTGTTAATCCCGTGCTTCACACATCTTAGTCGTAGAAAGGTTTTGATGGAGCAAACGCCTAAACTTATAATCTGGGGGTAATAATGTGTTGCTAGATACCGCTTGTTACTTATAGTATTCGTGTAGAGCCAATACCGTGGCCAATTTTATAAGTGCCTATATGGATCACAAACTTTGGACTATTTAAAGAGTATGATTCTAAGAAGGGATAGTATTTAATTTGTATATTGTAAAATAATAAAATAAAATGTTTTAATATAATATATGTATATATATTATGTAGGGATATATATATATATATATATATATATATATATATACATACATATATATATATATATATATATTGTAATATACAGTATATTATATTGCTTATCACCAAAGTTCCCATGACATTGGGTTTCAGTGTAATGGGATGACCCGAGTGCGCTCCAATGCCCCGTTCGTAAAATTGACGATTCCTACCCCCCTAAGCCCCCGGTAAACCCCCCCACCCCGCCCCAACCCGAACACACACACCCACCCCCTTCAATTGCACCCCACAAGTTGATTTTGACTTTGAAGTCAAATTTTGACTCCAAAGTCAAAATTAACTTGTGAGGTGCAATTGATGAGGGTAGGGCGATGTTCAGGTCGGGGCGGTGTGGGGGTGTTTATCGGGGCGTTAGGAGGGTAAGAACCGTCAATTTTACGAACGGGACACCGGAGCACCCTTGGGTCATCCCATGACATTGGAACCCAATGTGATGGGAACCCCACCCATTGTTTATATTGTGTACATTTTATTTTGGAGTCTCATTTTAATTATGAAAATAATTATTTTTACAAATACTATTTTAAAGTATACTCCGTATTTTATATACTCATTTTAAAATGTTTTGGGTATTTTAATTTATATCATAAAATTATTGATGTCAAATAAAATATACTTTAAACATTTGAGAGGAGAAGAATTAAATTCCTCTCCCCTAAACATTTCGCACCTAGCATGAGTGGAGCATGTCTCCCACTTTAAAATGTGTGGAGGAAGAGAATTTGACAAAAAAACATTTTGGCCTTTTGTAATTGTTTATGTTTTATCATTCTGAATAAAATGGAACAACTTTAACACACACACTCCACTACCATAGTTTTGGCCAAAGGAAAGGAGCAAAAGAGAGAATTTTTGAGTTACAAAATTATTGTTTTGGGTGTAGAAAATTGTTATAATATTTTCTTTAAAATATTATTGATATATTTTCTACTATTTAATATACAAGATTAGTATTATCCCTCTTAATTCTTTATATTAAATATACTATTATAATCTTTACCATAAAGATTATAATAGACTCTGGAGATTATTCGTGTGTCAAAGTCGGAGGACGGACGCTTGAACGGCTACGTTTGCTCATTCAACACCTTTCCCCGATTCAACGTCATTACCGTTAACTAGAGAAAGTAGAAGTTTCTATATCTAGCTAGAATTTTAGTACGTGTTCTTGGGCTAGTAGTCACTATTGGGAACTTAATTTTGTACTTCCGCTGCCCTTCCAACCGTGGTTACCTTTCAGGTATAATGCTAATTTTTGTTAACGCACCAATACTTTATGTCAGTGTAAGGAGGTGCATTCAATCTAGATTTTATAAGATTCTGATAGATTGTTTAGATCTATTGATTCTGTAAAGTCAATGGATTATTCAGAGTTTATGCAGAGTTAGATAGATTTTACTGGATTTTATCAACAGGATTTCATAGGATTCTAGTAAATTATTTATAATCCATGGATTATTTATACAAACCTTTGAATTATTTCAAAAATTCATACATTAATCTAACATTAATTGTATTTATGAAATTGATAAAAAACTTAAATTAAAAAATCATATAATAAAATAAAAAATAAATTACTTTTTAAACATTAGTATCATTATTATAAATTTATTAGCATAGAATAATATATTGATCATTGTCATAAGCAATAAATTTGTTTTGAAACTCAAAGCATTATTATGTCTAAACTATTTTTCATGTAAGTAAAATTTTATCAATAAAAAAATAAAAGACAACACAAATGATAGAAGACATTACTAAAAAATTCAAAGAAAAATTAAAAATAAAATTATTAAATAATATAGCTCTCTCTCGCTATCACTTCTTCTTTTATGAGTATGTTCCATAAAAACATAATACAAAATTACAATACGAGTGTATATGTACCATAAGAAGATATTAAACCAAATATAATTTAGAATAACTGATTAAACCACAAGTACCTAAAAATAATTTAATAAACCACGAGTACTCTTAACTCTTAGCCAAAATAAAGTCACATAACACATTTAAAATAAAGTCACATAATTCTTTCATTCATTCTAATATATCTTCTCATTTTATCCTCTCATCTTGTGGTGTATCCAACTTAACCATTCTTCAGGTGACATCTTCAAGAAGACATCTTCAATCGGCTTTGGTAATTGAGATAGTTCTTGTGACACCCAAGTCTTTTATTAAGCTCAGGAAGTACCTCTCTTTCACTGTTTGCTTAGAAAAAATACCACTATTATCACGCCATCCCTCTAGCTCTAACATGAGCTGTAACAGTACATCACTTTCTTTGGTTGTCCATTGCTCATAAGTCATATCCTATTTTTTTGGTATCTTGTTGTTGATCACTTATGATGATATTGTTATGAAAGTAAAAAAAAGGAGTGTGCGTGTATGTATATATATATATATGTATATATGTATGTATGTATGTATGTATGTATGTATGCATGCATGTATGTATGTATGTATGTATGTATGTATATGTGTATATATATATATATATAAATAAATTAACATTAATTGTATTTATGAAATGGAGTATTATGATATATATATATATATATGTGTGTGTGTGTGTGTGTGAAAATGCATAAAAATTGCAACATAAATTAAATAGTATCCACTGTTATGGAGAAGAGAAAAAGGATGAGAAGTACGGAAAATAAAGTGTCAAAATTTGTTTTCAATGCATTAAAGAGAAATATAGGTTTGATCTATATATGGCATTTTTTTAGGTAAAAAGGAAAAAAACCATCTTCCATGACATATTTAAAAAAGTCCTGCCATATATACTATTCAACATAATATAGGTTTGCCTCGTTTTCAATGATATACTCACTCCGTCCATGTATGATCTTCCCATTACGCGTTACGAAGCTTGACCGACTTTATTTTTAATTCAATTTAATTGATTATAGAAGTAAAATTTTAACTACATGAAAAGTTCTACAAAACTAGAGGTGACAAGAATATATTATTTTATGAAATGACTAGTAAAATTGAGTAAACAAAGTGAGTAAAAATTTAAGGAAAAAAACCATGTGAATAGTGACTGGGACGATCTATGGTGGACGAGGAGTACTATTCAATGCATTCAAGAGACCAATATCCATTTAAAAATTTGTTTTCAATGCATTCAAGAGACATATAGGTTTGCCTCATTCATCTTCTCTTTTGTTTTCTTAATTTAGACCCCATTGTTGTAGAAGAAGTATCTCATGAAGAATAAGATCTGGTTTTAAAAACCAAAATCAATATAATTTTTATTTACGAAATCACACATATAAATAAGTAAATCTGTAAAAAAATTCTTGGAATGGTTTTGAATCTGGTAAAATTACATAATAAAAAAGAAATTCATTATAGTTTATTGGGGATAGATAAGATCTTACCGTGAACTAGAGGACGATGGAGGGAAGTTGGAGAAAAGAAAAACCTGCGCCGACAGAGGAAGAGACGGGGAAGATGAGCTCTTGCAGTTGCCGAAGAAGATGAGGTTGAAGAAGATGGGGTTGCGGTTTATGAAGAGGAGAAGATCGGTGGAAAGAGAAGATGAGGCGGAACGCAGAATCCCTGGCCTTTTTCTTTGCATTTGCAAAAGACTTTTTTTTTAATTTATACTTTAGACTAAGGGGTGTATTCAATTTAGATTTTAAATTATTTTGATAGATTTTTTAAAATCCATAAATTCTGTAAGTTCATTGGATTATTTAAAATTTAAATAATTAGTTAATTAGATTCTAATGTATTCTATCAAAGGATTTTCTAGGATTTACATTTTCTTTTCTTTTTTCTTTTTTTTCTTCTTTTCTTTTTTCGTTTTCTTTTTTTTCTCCTCCTCCCCCATGAACCCTAGCCGCACTGCTTCTTCCATCCCATTTCGTTCTTTCTATGTTTTCTTTCCTTTTTTCTTTTTCTTTTCTTTTCTTTTCTTTTTTCTCCTCTGTCTTCCTCCCGACTTTCTTACTGTGAACAAGACGACTTCCTCGGCGACGATGGAGACCTCCTCGGCGATAGGATTGCAGCGGCCAACAACACCCCGACAGTAGAGCAGCGTGCAGAGCCGAGGAAGGCCTTCCGTCGGGGTTCCGAGCTCCGGCGACTTGGCAGAAGAACAAGGCAGGGACGAGAGAAGATGAAGAACGAGAATAGGAGTAGGCAAAATCCCAGAGCTTTTGATTGGATTTGGAGATTGGATTTGGAAATTGGATTTGTATTTATACCCAAGGCATGAAAATCCATCAAAATCCACAATTTTTAAAATCTTTAAAAATCCATTAGTTTTTGAATACTATCATATTTAGAAAGATTTTTTAAAGTTTGAATTTAATACACCCAGATTTTAAATGACTTTTTAAATTCTGAATTGAATATCTGCGGATTTTCAGAATTCAAAAAAATCTATCAGAATCCGGATTGAATACACCCCCTAAAAATCCATCACAATCCATTTTTATAACAATCCTTAAAAATCTATTAATTTTTCAATATCATTAGATTTAGAAAGACTTTTTAAAATCTCAACTGAATACCTCTAAATTTTAAATGATTTTTTAAAATCCTAATTGAATATCCACTAACTTTTAAAATCCAAAAAAGATCCTGCAGAGTCTAGATTAAATACACCCCCCAATTTTTTTTAACGCACTAATATTTTGTGTTAGTGTGAAAATCAAAATGTTGATCCATAGGATTTAGCCAAACATTAAAAGTTCCATTTCATCCACGCTCATTGAAGTTTGTACCCTAATTTGAGTTGAAAGTGGGAATTGGGAACGTTGAGCTCAGAGAGAGTTCTTCTGAGAAAAGGCTTTGGGGGCCGGAATGAAGAAGACACTTTTGGAATTGCTGGTCTGCCCGCTTTCTAAACAGCCCTTAAGGTTGTCTGTCCAACCCACACTTATCCTAAGTAGTATTTCCTCCACCTGAAATCGATGGTTTGAAAATCTGTGTGTAGGTTGTGCAAGAAAACGAGTTCCCTTATCAGCGATGCCATCGGAGTGTCATATCCGGTGAGTGATTTTTTGCTATTCATTTTGTTGCTTATTCATTTTATCTTTTTGTTGGCCTTAACCAGTAGCCATTCAAGTAATCTTAGTCAATTTATGAGTGTATAAATTATAACCCTTCCTAAACTGAAAGTTTCACATTTGATTGTGCATGAATATTAAGGAGGGGGAAATTGTGTTGTTTAAATTTATAGAAAGGAGAGAAAAATGAATTAAACTATTCTATTCTTTGTTTAGAAGGAAGGGGAAATTTCTTCTGGAAAATTAGTACTCCGTATAAAATTCTCCATAACTATTGGTATGGCATGAGAGTGGTTTGTGCGCACTGACAATAACTCTGTGTGCATATACGGTTATTGTCTGTGTGTCTGTTAGAAGCTTGGTGTGGAAGTCGTGTCAAATTCTTGGTGTTTCTCTAGCTTTTTGCATGGTATAAAGTGTTGTTGGTCCTTCAACTGTTTCTGTAACGGGCAATGCTAGATGTACCCCAAAATGGGGTACCCCATTTGTACCCCAGGCATTCACAGACACACATACTTTGTACACCTAGGTTAATTCTTCTGTAATAATTTCCTACTCCCACTCTTTAGATATGACGTTGTAAAAAGTATTTAAGGAGTGGAGTATAATTTTCCCAACACATTTGTTCCAAAAACACACTTTTCACACTTTACTTTTTTTTATATCCCAATATACTGATATAGACTTTGCAATTCCAGAAGAGGTAAGTTTTTTTTAATCACTTTGATTCTTACCCCATCACTGTAGTTACAGTTATAGGCCCCTAAAGCTTTGTGCTAAAAGAAAATTTGATGTTTATTTTGACAAATAGGGGGTAGTATATTTCCTTTTGAACAAAATTCTCAATTTCTTACTAGCCCTCTTCCTTAGATGTTTATCCAATTAATATGGAGTATTTAACCTTGGTAGACACCTCATTTGGAAATTTGACTCAATTGAAGGATGTGTTATAATTGACATGATACTAGAGATTGTTTGAGGGGTTTCACATAATACAAATGTGGCTAGAAAAGTAAAACACGCCTTCACGGGCGTCATTTGAACGTGTTGCCTTGGGATGAGTGCGGGTGCATATATGGGGACGGGGACGGGGACAGCGTCATTTTCTCCCCTTTTTCATTTGTTCCGAAAATATGTCTCATTTTCTTTTATGAAAAATGATAGGTTCTCCATTTCCCTCTCTCTCCTCTGCATAATTCTTAGCCACACAGTTTACACTTAATTTCTGTGTGTGATCAAAGTGTGCCATTAAATTGTGAGAAAGGGAGTATCATATTTGAAGCTACAGACAGATAGAGCCTTAATTGGACCTACGGGTGGAAGATGATGATAAGCACCAATTCAAATAAGAGGAGTGGATATCGTTCATAATTTGCTGTCTTTCCTAATCCGAATTAATATCTGTAAGATAGTGAGAGAGAGAGAGAGAAATTAAATACTCCCTCTGTCTCAAAACTAGTTTCCCACTTTCCATAATTTGTGTCCCAAAACTAAAGTTTTATTTTATTTTGGATTTACCTAACCCATTAAAAATACTATAAAATCCCTTCTGTTTTCAACTACTTTTTTCTACGCACCGCCATTTATTTCCTCCATCATTTAACTCATTACACTCACACACTCTCGTTTCAATGTCATTTCAAGGGCAAAATTAGAAGGTCGAACACATTTTAAAATTAATCTTAAGTTGTGTGAAGTACAGATGTGGACTTCAGTTATGGGATTCTGAGTTGTCCCCACTGTCTACATGCCACTTCCTCAAAATGGACGATCGAATCTTTCCCGAGAGATGTTTCTGAACCGTCAATATAGGTGTCCCCAACAACATCCCCATCCCGATTATGGAATGAGTTGTGCTAGGGTAACCCCACAATTTTGGCACCACCATTAACCCACAGACAGTTATTGTGTGCGTCCCCGTGCAAAGCATGTGGTGAATAGTGGTGTAAAAATTGTTCTGGGATGGCAAACAACAAAAAACAGCCGAACCCCTGCAACTTAGTGCCAAATAGTTACAAATACATACATTATTATGGTACCATTTATGCAAATTTTTTGCAACTTGTCATGTTTTTTCTACTGGTTTCAATGATTGAATCAGATAGTGGATGGGGTTCCTCATCTTGTTCCCGCGGACGGCCAGATAGTTCAAACCAATGACGCTTCTGATCCAGGCGGAGTTGATTCTTCTGGGTTTAAATCTGGTAATTGAAATGATAACCAAAATCGCAAGAGCAGCAGCAGCTCGAGTTCCTCATAGTGATTACAATGGAGCTGCAGCTTGGGATACTGCCCACGTCACACTAAACTAAGTTGGCAAAAGTTCTTTTAAATTTGTACTCATATTGTAATATTGGGCATATCTTTTTTTCTTTTTTCCAATTTTTTTTCTCTTAAGCTTACCACTTTTTACTTGCCAGTCTTAACAAAATTATTCGAATATAAGTTCAATTCTACCATTTTCAGTTCTTTTGAACAAAGTAAATTTTAATTGAAAAGAAGAGACGTATCTATATTTGGGCTCATTTTAATTTTAATACTCCCTCTGTCCCAATTTATAGTGCCTGTTTGAGTTTACGATGTTTGGTTGAAATTATTTTCAAATCATTTTATATGACAAATGGTATATAGTTAAAAAAAGAAAAATTACATATCAAAATACTACATCAAAAGATTTATTATAAAACTAGTAGTGACAATAGTACTTTATTTTATTAAATTACTAACGAAAATAGAGAAAGAAAGTAAATGAAGTTTGATTCTATGAATAGTAAACATGTATTATAATTTGGAATGGAGTATTATTTTTAGATTCACTGTTCGCGATGAGTTTGTTTTTGCACTTTTGCAAAAGATCCTCTTTGGCCTCTTCCTACGGTGAAAGACTTGTGTTGTTTGTAAATTTACATGCATATTTATAGGGGAAAAAACTAAAGAAGTAAAAACATCGAAAAAGTACTAAAATAAAAGTCATATTTTTATTTTACAATGTCAATAATATCAAAAAACATTACGGAATAATAATACACGGTGTCAAACTATCGTAATGTAGTCGTTCTATTTTAAGTATAAAAACGTAGAAATCTTATTAAGAGCATATGGTCTATGTTTTGATCCTCCCAAAATAAATTTCTTTATTTATAGTTGAGAAGATTGTGTCAATGTCAACAACTTTTCTCTATGATAGTGTAAACCCGCAACACTTACATAATACCATTACAATCATCTACTCTCTAACATTTAAGACTTCAACATCTCTATTATTGATCAATGGGCCTTCTTAATCATATCTAGTTTTGCTTTCAACACCGACGATCAACATGTGATTCCAAGCTCAAATGAACGTTACTGCTCCTTTACAACTTAAACCCGATTCATATGTGACGAAGGTGTCATTCGACCTTACTTTTTCAGAGGAGATATGTCCGATTATGTATGATTATGTTAAGATTGAGTTTATACCTGTTGTTGTACACAATACTTGTTTCACAAAGTTATTTTCTTTGCATATACTTGAAGAATGCATATTATGAAATTGATGTATGCACATTTAGTAATTACACTGATGGTGTAAATTACCTAACCGGGTAAACTATACTAGACCGGGTCTAGAATCGTTTACTTGATTCAAAATTTAAAAAGGTAAAAACACACAAATGACCGGGAAGACTGTAGGTGGGAATATCTGTAGCCCAATTGATATTATAAATATAGGAGGATGCACAGGAACTTTTACAAAGGAGTTTAGAGAGAATGAATTCCCACCCTACTTCTGAGGATTACAGCAGTATTTATACTAAGACTCAGGGGACAAAGCATCGTGCTTCCACGTGGTGGCACGTTCCTGGGTGGTAGGAAGTGATGACTTTCATCTTCCAACTGTTTTGTCACCTTGCGAGGAAGCTTACTCCCTTTGTCTTGAAGCACTTTGAATGGATTGTTCAAGCATCTCCAGCGATCCTCCCCAAATCTTGGTCGCTACAGTCCAATCTCCTTTGGATTCTTTTCTGCCGACACCTTCCAACCCTAGAGACTACACCGGGTAGTTTCGAGGGGTAGGTTTACCACATTTAGGGAGTGAACAAGGCGATAAAGTACTTTGACCGGTATACTATCCGAAGTGTACCGGTCAACTTTTCAGTCAATCGAACATCTTTTTACTGAAGATTAAGGTCTCCCTTTCCAGTAAGATCCACTTGACCGGTCCACTATTTAGTCCTCTTTTTTGACCGGTTCTGGGTGGAATACACCCATCATACACAATGCTCATTTTTTAAAACTTTTTTCTCATTTTGTCGTTATTTTTCAATCCATAAAAGAAGAAAAACAAATTCTTGAAAATGAAAGTACAAAAAAACACATTTTTTTAATAGAAATTCAGAGCACGCACATTAAAATTTAGCGTATACATATTCACCATACTCATTAGATATACAAAAAAAATTGGCATATCCAAATATACAATATAGCCTTGTGTGCATCAATCTATTAACCGGCTAAGGCCCCCTTCTATTCAACTTAGTTTTACTATTTATTACGCAATATTTATTCTTATTGAAATCAGATCGTATTCATACAAATCAAGTCAGATCAGATCCATTCAGATCGAGTCAAACCAGGTTCATTCAAATTAGATCATGTCAAATCTATTTAAGTCAAATCAAAAAATTATTAAAAAATAAAAATTTTATAATAATAATAACTTGAGACGAAGAGTAACAAAATGACTCAAAGTAATGATATCCGAACATCCCGAGGTTGTTGAACTTGTAGCTCTATCCAATGGTAGGCCGTCAATTTACTACTCCCTCCCTCCTAAAACATTCTTCCTGTTTCTGCTTACGAGATTTGACCGACATTAATTTTTCAATTCAATTTGATTGATTGTAACTGTAAAATTAAAAAATAAAATTTATATATTTTTAACACTACATCAAAAGTTCTACAAAACAAGATGCGACAAAAATATATTATTTTATCAAATAACTAATGAAAATAGGTAAAGAAACTTATTAAAGTTTGACTGTGTAAATAATAACTGAGAAGAATGTTTTAAGACAGAGGAAAAAATATCTTTATAAAGTATAACACTATGTTTGGTTCATGAAATTTGAAAGGAAAAACAAAAAAAGAAAGAAGTTTTCTTTACACTTCCTCACCAAAACCAAAAGGAAAATGATCTTCCATAGTGCATTTCTTCTTCCATTTTCTTTCCGTTCCACTTATCTTTTGTTTTTCCTCTCTAATCAAAAAAAGAAAACTTTTTTTCTCTCATTTTCTTTTGTTTTCCCTCTCAAATTCCTTCAAGCAAACAATGTACGGTATAAAGTTTAAAAAATTCATGAACTGAAAAAAATATGCGCACAAAACAGTGATCAGGGTACTACTACCTCTCTCCTCCATGTGTGGACCTTTTACCGCGAGATTCTGACCAGTAGAGGATAGCAGTGATCCATTTCGTAATTGGGCCAGGATTCATCGCCATCTACGAATCTCTCATGACGCCTCCAAATTTCAGAGTCATATTTAATTTCAGTGCTAAAACTCAATCCAATGCTTTTCACCTTTCCAAGAAACTTGTCCAATGAATCCCCTCTTTTAGGGCAAAATAGTAGAGCTTCAGAAGGACCCTCTTTGTTTAACAATAACTTGATGGTTTCAGCCAGCCCTTCTTGGAATTCCTTGAAGAAAGTGCTGCAAAATCATATAATAATATTCAATAACACTAAAAGGAATGATAATAAAATCAATAATAATAATAATAATAATAATAACAAGGAGCATGCTACATGACCCCAAAATTTGTACCCCATTTATACACCAAAGGTATGCACAACATTTTCATGGTTCACCATGACACAAAGTGCTGGTGCGTTAACAAAAATTGGCATCACACCAACACAAAATGTTGGTGCATCCATGCAATGTACAAAATGGGATACAAATTCTTGAGGTACAATAGCATTATCCTAATAACAATAATAATAATGATAAACTACTTCAGCCCTCCCATAAAATACTTTACATTTTCCTTTCATGGATGTTCCATATATAAACTTCACACTCACTTCATTTACTATTTTAGTAATGAACATGTGGCTCATAATATTTTGGAAAGCACTCTGTAAAGTGTGTTGGAATTTTGGTTGGCAGAGTGAATCGGGTGGAGTGCCGGGTGAAATTGACCGCTTTTCCATATAAAGGCAGGATGAATTTCTGACCAAAAGCTTAGGCCAATAGGTAGACATGCACATTTTTTTACATGAGAGTGCTATTTGTTTTAATTATCCGGTGTGGGATAGATTCCCAACAAAGTGATGGGGGTGACTAACTGACTATAAGGGGTAGAAGGGCGTGAGCTTCTACAGATGCTATTAGCATATAAAAGGTGTGTAAATTAGGATTTCAACCACAAACTTTTAGGATTTTCCAAAGAAAGCTTTAGATAAAGATCAAGTTATTCTTATCTAAAATACATTCAGAGTAAGACATCTTGCATCCATGCAGATTGCCCAAGAACACACACACACACACACACAGAGACTAATCAAGAATTAAAACATAATTACCAGTCACTTGCAATAATGTAATCAAAAGTACTGGAAATATCAGAGACATTTTCCTGACCCCAATGTAGAATCATTGACTTAACCACTGTACTGCCGAACACGCCTGAATTGGTAATAACACTTCGCTGTATATCTGAGATTTATTCTGAATGTTAAGAATCTCCAAAGAGTGTCTGCTTCGGCAGAGAATAAAATGGATGGACTCATTTGCAGACACAGAGAGATTATCTAGTAAATACTCCATATCTGTTTGTTCCCAGTTTCTTGGATATCACAAACTTCATTGTCTTATACGGAGAATTTAGATAGTTGGGTTTGTGTTTACTGTTAGTCAGACACGAATTCATATAAAAAGGATACAATCAACAACCTGAGGATTCCCATCAGTGATTACCACTTCTAGTGCATCTGTGGCTACTGCAACCACTAAGCCAGCTACGCCATATCCTGATCCAAGTTCAATTACTCTCTTATGCCTAAAAGATGTAATGAGTGAAAAAATTGGGGTTAAGTTTACAATGATAAATATAATTAAAAATGTGAATCATAAAATGAAGTTCAGCAGGTTCTTAAAAACCTGAACATGTCGCCATGTGACAAGCAGTAGTAGGCAAGGACATCCTCGGATGGCCATTGACCTATCCAACAATATGTAAATCTATCAAAAACTGACCACTAACTGATACAAGCACGCAATACCTACCACCAATAGGTAAATATATCAATATATCATACAACACATAGTTGTGAAATTTGAATCATTTCGTGAACGATTTGATCAACTTCACAATTAGTATTTAATGGTTAAGAAGCATGCTCAAAAGTTAAGTAATACTACCTCCGTCCCAAGAGTATTCGTCCAGTTTGACTTTTTCGAGTCAAATTGGATGAACTTTGAGGCTCAATTAAGTAAAAACTACAATGTATATTAGTATAAAAATGATTTTATTACATTTAGCTTGTTTAGAATTTTCAAAAATTTTATTTTGTTATATTAATATGCAATACAAATTAAGAGTAATTGAAGATTAAAGTTTGTCTAGTTTGACTTGAAAAAGACAAACTGGACGAATACTCTGGGACGGAGGGAGTAAGTCAATAAATTTCAGTATGTCATAGAAGAAAAAGTAAAACAAACTAAATTTGATTTGATCAGTAGTGCTGGAGTCCAAAATACCATCACACTACACATATGCAGCATCCAATTCTTTTCAATTTTCAATTCAAGCATGTTACGAATTTGTTAGAATTCTGAAACTAACTGTGTCAAGTGATTCACTATGTATCATGAATTGCACAATTCTTCCCCATTTCCAGTTTAAATATGTATAGCTAATCTGGATCAAATCGAGGTGTCGAAAGACATCATGAATTGCACAAAATAGAAATTAAATAGTGCCTATTATCCATCATTTTCACCTATCGTCCATGCCTATGGTACCAAATTTTTATCATGGCAACATGTTTGACAATGTTGCTCTGTCAACCTATCATGCTATCAGATTGTTAAGGGTGCTCATACATGATCTCGTCCAAGCAATGAGGAAGATGCTGGATGAGACAAAAAGAAACCAACATGATGACAGGCTATGGTTGAGAACAAGAAAAAGGCTCTTCTCAACCTTGCAGTAAGTAGAAGTGCTGAACAGGCTGACCGTGGCTAGCCTGGCAAGTGGCAAGCATACGAGATCAAGTCCAAATGCTCTACAGTTATTTTTAAAACGAAGCCCTATAAGTAGTGCTTCCTCCGCTTGAATTTCATTGCAACATTTGTTTTTTCAAGCTTGCAAATGCACAAATTAAATCTTTAATATCTTGATTTATATTTTAGCAGAAATTATTAAAAAATATTGAGATTAGGAATGTTGTTAACGATATGAATCTAACAAGATCCAACTTGACTATAATTTTACTTATGTATCGATCACAAAAATTCATTAAATTACGGTGTCTAAACAGTGTTAAGTTAACAAGGGTGCGATAAAATAGAAACGGAGGAGGTACTTGACAATAGTCTTTTCTAAACGGAGGAAGTACTCCCTCAGTCCCAATTTAACTTGCCCATTGATATTTACAATGTTTGAATAAAATTATGTTTAATTCAATTTATTTGAAAATTGGTGTCGAATTAAAAAATAAAAAGTATACATTTAAAAAATACATCAAAAGTTCTATGAATCGGAATCAAGAGGTGACAAGACTTAAAGACTATACTACTTTATCAAATGAGTAATAAAACTAGTTAACATCCAACTTAATTTGGGACGGATGGAGTACTAAATCTTATGAAAATAGTAAAAGAAGAAAACTATTCCTAATATAAAACAAATAATGCATGTCAAACTAATATGAAATAAATGATTCCTAACACTGCACTCTAGCTTCGTTGTCCTTGTCAGTTGTCGCTGATATCTTCGTCTAAACATCACAACACTTCGCTCCACTCTTTCACTTTAAAGCAAAACCTGACTTCATCGCTTTGGTGTGCTTTTTAACAGAGCTAGAAAATCCATTCGCGAAACACTAACTTGGGGTAATTCCATGCAAATTTGATATAATTTCTTGCTCCAGGTATGAGAGAGCATGGTTTCGCAATTCTATTCGAAGGAACAAAAAAATCGTGAACGGCGACAAATTTGTATATTTACATGTCATTGATGTTTTAAAAAGATGGTATTCGCGTGCAGCTTTTTTTAAGGCAATCGCCATTGCAATAGAAAGAGCAAGCTTAAGCTACTTTGGAACATACTATGGATACAGACAGCAACCAGCCCGAGAAATGTAAAATTGCCAAACACTTTCCATTTTCATATTATTTTTGTTTCGTTATTATTGTTCAATTAGGTGACATGCCGACAAAGAAAATAACATTCATGAAACAACATTTTAAATACTACAGAGCACAGAAAAGCTAAAGATTTTCCGCTCATTAGAGTGATAAGACACTTACAAACAAGTCCTGTGTTGTCAATATTACATTCATTACAGATCTGAAAGTCATTTAGATCCAAAATATCATTCACTCTCTGGCTGCATCAAAATTCATAAGTAAGAAAACAGCATTGCTAAACAGTAACTTACTAAAAATATAGTGAAAATGCATCCACCCCTTCAAATACACTTTGAACACTAAAAACTAACTGCTTTTAATGCAAGTTTTTTTAACGACAACAGTTAGGGGCTGTTTGGCAACTTCTGAATAGGTAAGTGTTGAATGAGTAAGAGGTCTGAATCATTAAGTGTTGAACCAGTAAGAGGTCTGAACCATTAAGAGCTAGCATATTGCTTAACTATTCAGAGGCAAATGTCTGATCAATTCAAATAAGAGGTCTTAACCATTCAGACTCTGTATAATACTTAACCATTCAGAGGCAAATGTCTGAACCATTCAGACATCTGTTCACAAAACAAACAGTCTAAACCATTAAGTGCTGAACCATTCAGACATCTGAACCATTAAGAGGCTGAAACAAACAGCCCCTTACCTCTTAGCAGTTAGAAGTTGGAAGATTCTACTAGCGGTTGACTACTAGTTAACAGATTTTTTTAAAGATGCTCGGTGGCTAGGCATATTTTTATTACTTATTAGCATTGAGCTCTTTAATATGCAAAATGACAAAATTCTTAGGAATATGTTGTTCACCAAAAAAAACTTTCTAAAATATTGGTAGAAATGCCATTATTGAAAAGAGTATTTTGACACCAAAATGTTGTTCAAAAATGATGTGTACCAAGCACCGCAATTAGCATTTTTTACTTTTGAGTGGTCAAATATGCTGTTCTGCACAATGTCGAAAGGGACACATTGCCCAGCAATATGTTGTTTACCTAACAGGGTCATTATCATTCTATTAACATTATTTAGTTTTCAAACATGACTGAAGCATAGAAGTACAGAACTACCCTCACATCTTATGTGAGATGTAGAGGAAAGCACATATTAAAATTAGATAAACAGATTGGTCCTCATCTGCAATTTTTTTATATGATGAACTTATTATTTGACTATTTGAGGAAACTCGCTCACATTAGAATGCCTCAAATAAAGACCAAGCACACAGCCTCTTCAACAATGTAGAGAAAATACAAAATACAACTGGCATAGAGTTTTATCTTTGTTTTTGGTGTTTTTTTACCGATACTGAGTACAAAAAACCCCAACTCCAGTAATCCAAGTCAAAAGGGGGAAAAGAGGTGTATTTCATACAGTTATTAGCATTAGAAATATTTCTCTTTTTATTATATGGAGGTAGTACTCGTATTTCTCAAACTTTAAAGAGACTGCAAAGAGGAAGTTCAAAATGCAAATATATCATCCATTAATAAAAAAATACATTCAATTAAAAACTGAATTAGCAAAAAACAATGGCAAACCAAGAAAACAGTAATGTAAATATGAGGCCTACAATGCAATACATTCCTCACCCTATTGAAATAATGAAATGAGATGGAAAAAAAACAAAGCTAGAATTTGAAATGCACACTCACTGAACGGCAAGTTGGGGAGAATTGGGAAGGGGCAAAGTATAGCAAAGAAGAGTGTCTCTTGAGCTGCACGTGGTGTCCTTTCTTAAGAGAGCATCTGACTTGTCTTCTGAACAATTTTCCAGCAGGCTGCAGGGTATCAAATTGAAACCCTGACTCGCCTTTCTTGATACCTTTTCAATGTCCAATTGGGATTGGTAATCTGTGAAGTACTAGGTTCAGCGCATGATTCAGAATATATGAAACGCCTGAGTGGGTAAATACGAGTGTGTGTGTGTGTGTGTGTGAGAGAGAGAGAGAGAGATCGGACCTGGAGGAGATGCAGGGCGACGAAGAAGAGCACGGCGAAGGATTTTCCAGCGGAGAATTGAAGGCCTCGTGCTCGAATTATCGCTACTCCCATCCATGGATTCGCACTCTCTGGCTGCTTCGCGGCTCAGGATGTGTAATTATGAAATCTTGTAGGATTTGGAATTCGGATATGATGTTGAGGGATCCACATCCCTCTAATATAGTTTTTTTTTGAAACCCTCTAATATAGTTGATATATACTCTTTCTAATTTTTAAAATCAAATTAAATAATACTTTAATTTTAAATTAGATTAAACTCAAATTATTATTAAATCAATTATAATTTGTTATAGAATAATTATTTTCTTTGTTTTCATGATTTATGATATTTTATGATAACTGCATATGATAAAAATATATACACATCACACGTATATACATATTTTTATATGTCTGTATATATTTTTCTGTCTACACATTTATTTTGTATATAAAAATGTTTTATATTTTGAAATATCAATAGAGAAACAAAATATAAACATAAAACAATTACGAAAAAACAATATATAACGAATCGGATGTTCGGATAAACGGTTATTTAAACGGATGCATATTCGGATCGGATATACAATTACCAAATCCATATCCGTTTAGTAATCGGATACGGATAATATCCGTTTAAAACAAATGCGGATATTTTCTCTTTAAACGGATACGGATGCAGAGGGTAATCTGATTTTCGGCTATCCGTTGACAGCCCTATCAGTCGGGGTACACTTTTTGCTCCATCTTTCTCTAAATTGGAACCTATTTGCACTGTCGCGATCAAAAAGTCGAACTATATCAAACGCTGTAATTTTTATGTTTATTTGTAATACTTTTTCTCACAACATATTTTTTGGTGCTTGACTTTGACAAAGTTAAAATTAATTTAGTTGACCTTTATTCAAAAAGGTTCTCTGATTTAATTCATATTACTTATTCTCATTATTTATTTCAATAAATCATTTCAAAGTTCACATTATAAACAAAATTTTCATTTATTCTTGATTTGGGTCTACACTCTGTTTCTTAATCAAGAATACACGAATAATCAATATATTTGGTTTTATCTCTACGAGATTTATCTAGATTGTGATATTAAATATCAAAACATATTTCATTTTGGTTCAAAGACCAACAATAATTTATTTTAATCCAAACAATTTTGATTAATTGAATAATAATTCAATAATAATTTTAGGGTATGTTTTGGGACGTTACAGTAAGAAGTATAATTTCGGGCATATAAATTCTTTCATAGTCTTGGTCATTCTTGTGTTCTTGCTTTCTAATGTCTTTGGCTTGATAGAGTTCGTTTTGACCTGGTCACATTCGTTCAAATCTACGCCGTTAAATTTACACCATCGTTTAACGAGCTATTATCATTTTAACGGCTACCTGAAACTCATAAATTTAAGTAAAATTGAAATTATTATGTATTAGTGTAAAGGCATGGTTATTTTTGAAATATCAGCTAAAATTAGGATTATTCTCTGATGATTTTTCCTAAAGAATAATGCTCATGTTGCATAAATACTTTAAATAAATGGATTAAATAACAAAAAATAAGATTTATAATTTTTATTTTTTTATAAACAAAAAATATTAAAAAAGGCAGACTTAGATTAGTCATAACCAAACTATCCTACTAAAAAAATCTCTATTTTTTCATAAAATCAACTAGTCTAGACGCATTACCAAAAAATCAAACCCATCTACTTCGTTTTTAAAGGATGGATTTGGTGCAACTGGTCAACTCTATTTGTTTGAAGCTAGGGATGAGCATGATTGGGTGTGATTTGATTTTTAACTCGTACTAACATTGTTCCCCAGAGTATTAAATATTTTGGTGCGATATAAAATTTTACGTTGTATCGATTCCGAATTCAAAATACTAGTTCGATATAATTCACGATGATTCCGTATCGATTTTGATACAAATTGGGATGAATCCATACGTACCTAGTTTACACTTTAAATTGTAACAAAATCCTTTATTTTTAAAAATTAATAAAAAGTACATTTTAAAAAGAAATATAAAAAACTTAAAAATATATAATTAAATACAAGAAATGCTTATGATATGTAGTTTATAATTCAAAAACTAAAGAAAAATGAATGATAAAAAACATCATTTCAGACATTTGTTAATATTTTTATATTTATGTACAAAAAACTAAAACTCGAATAAAAGTATTTTAATTTACATATGATAAAATTTGAACCAAATTTTTCAAGATAAATCTATTTCTTAATAAAGAAAAATAAATAGATTAGAACTTTATTTTTGATTTTAGATTTTTAATATGAGAAGTTATCTCGTAACATTTCCATATATCATATTCATTTTTCTATTCTTTAGGTATATTTTTTCAATTGTGTAAGGTCATGTTCTCTCAAATTTATTTTTTTACTTATTACGTATTTTTATTGGAATCGAATCAAAACAGATCAAATCAGAACTTATTCCAATCAAATAAGAAAATAGTTACTATTTTCAAATAAGAAAATAAGTATTCTCTATTCTTGGATAAATTTTAGGATGTGTATTTGCAAACCCCTGTTTGAAACTTGAAAGTTATGTGAATCCAGATTTCCAGAGGCGGGGCAGAGAATTTCTTCTGAGTTCTGAGGTCTGACGTGCGAAGGAGGAAACACATACGGATTGCGAAAGAGCCGCTCTATACCGTAATCCCTTGATTCTCCTGTTCCAGATCGTATTTCTGTAACCATGGTGCTCGAGGTACTTAACGTCAACCCAGGGTTTTGCCCTTTCACAAATTAGGGTTCAATCATCTCATCGCTTCTTACCTTTTTCTTTAATTAAAAAATAAAACATTTCAGGCGACGATGATCTGTATCGACAATTCGGAGTGGATGCGAAACGGAGATTACTCTCCCAGTAGATTTCAAGCTCAAGCTGACGCCGTTAATCTGATTTGTGGGGCAAAAACTCAGGTTTTTTCCGTTTGCTGTGTTTAATCTGTTCATACGGTAGTTTCAGTGCAATGGCTTGTTTTAGAAGAAAGTTTAACACTTCCCTTCGGTTTTTATTTGGATCTACTAACTGGTTCGAGTTTTTTTTGTTTCCTTGTTTCCGTGCGTGGTGAATGTGTTTGTGTAGGCCAATCCGGAGAATACAGTTGGGGTATTGACAATGGCTGGAAAGGGTGTTCGCGTTTTGGTCACCCCTACTAGTGATCTAGGAAAGATCTTAGCTTGCATGCACGGTTAGCTTTACAGCTTTAAACTTGTTGATAAATGAACGCCGTACTTCAGATTGTTTCTAAGTGCATTTTAGATTTTTTTGTTATTGCTCCATTCAGATCAACTTGAGCTCTGAAATTACTGGTTTCTGGGAATAAGTTTTCTCATGTGTAAGTGTGATGTTTGTTACTGGTTATATGCGCGTAATGGTTCAATAGATTTCATCCGAAGGTTTGTTCCTGTCTGGTAGTGAATGGAAACAGATTCATACAAATTACCTTAATGAATAACTAGAATGAAGGACATTCGCTTTGAGATTCTCTTTTGAATACTTTGTATGCATTAAAACTTTTGGGGCACAAGTTTCTATGTTGCGACAATGGTTTTCCCTCCAATCATTATGGACTCTAGTTGCTATGCACAATCTTAAAATAAACTTGTATTATTTCTTATGCAGGTCTGGAAATAGGTGGTGAAATGAATTTTGCAGAAGGAATTCAGGTGGCTCAATTGGCCCTCAAGCATCGCCAGAACAAAAAACAGCAACAAAGGATTATTGTTTTTGCTGGGAGGTGATGTTTTTTCAATATTTGATTATTTGTGTATAGTTCTTTCTGTAGTGGTTAATAATCATGGGTATGTTGCAACATTTCAGTCCTGTCAAATATGACAAGAAGGTGTTGGAGATTATTGGGAAAAAGTTAAAAAAGAACAGTGTAGCTCTGGATGTTGTTAATTTTGGTGAAGAAGATGAAAGCAAAACTGAGAAGCTTGAAGCACTCGTTGCTGCAGTAAACAACAATGAGAGCAGTCACATTGTTCATGTTCCTCCTGGTCCTAATGCTCTTTCGGATGTGCTAATAAGGTTACTGGACATGTTCTTTTAAATTTTCTCTATTCAAAATTAGATTTGAAAACAACAAATCCACTATAATCCCAACTTTGTTGGGGTATGAGGGTCAAGTACTCAACCTTATCCCTGTAAAAATCAAAGAAGATGTTTCTTGCAGACTCTTGATGCCTTTACTGCCCAAAACTTAATAGAATTTAAAAGGAAGAAGTTTAATGTTCCATTTTGTTTTAGGCCATTATTAACCTAGAACTAAACTATTGTAAAAAATGACTCTTTTTGCTCTATTGGCAATGGATGAAAGACTAGAATTGATTGTCAAACCAATAATCTGTTCTTTATTTGTCAGCACCCCTATATTTACTGGTGACGGTGAGGGTGGAAGTGGATTTGCTGCTGCTGCGGCTGCGGCTGGAGGAGTATCGGGCTTTGACTTTGGTGTGGATCCAAACCTTGATCCTGAGCTTGCCCTTGCACTTCGAGTTTCAATGGAAGAAGAAAGGGCAAGGCAGGAGGCTGCCGCTAAAAAGGCCGCCGAAGAAGCTGCAAAACAAGAAAAAGGAGAAAGTCAGATAGCTTCTCAAGATGTGAATATGGCTGACAATGCTGCAGCTGGGACTTCTGAATCTGAAAACAAAGCCGCGACTCTTATGGTTTGGACAAATAATTACTCAAGGATGTATGCGATTGTGACTTTTAATTCTCTGGAATTATTGCATTTAACACCCAGGTTCTCTTTGATGTCTTTTAGGATGATGAAAATGCCTTACTACAACAAGCACTCGCAATGTCCATGGATGACTCTTCATCTAACATTATCATACAAGATGCTGACATGTCAGAAGCAGCTTCTGAAGATAAAGACTTAGCACTTGGTAATAAATCATATGGGGGAACCGTAATTCTGTATTTTGATGGATTCATGCAATTACATGCATGGTCAGAAGCATGTATGCCTGCAAATATTGGTATTTTAGAATTCTGTCATCCTAGGGTCTTATACAGGTCACTTAATGAGAATTCCACATTTCTTCCCAATTCCCATGCATATTATTGACATTTTTCTTTCAAATGAGTTGCGGGAGGCATTTATCAAGCAATGTAAAAGGAAAAAACATGTCTTCACATTAATTTATTAAGCAGGAAAACTTAACTTTACCACTGAATTCACACTGTTTGGTTTGACTCTTTGTTAAGTTCATTCTCTTATGTGTGTGTGTGTGTGTGTCTATATATATATATATATATATATATATATATATCTGCTACTTAACTTATTTTAGAGAAAATATGAAATTTTGGAATCGTTTAAACCTGGCCATTGATGAAATATTTTACTGTATTTGTAGCTTCTATTCTTTTGTTATCATATTGGTATGACAAGTGTTGCCATTTGAGAACATTGTCATCCTTCAGCTGTCTGTAGGATACTTAAAGACATAAAAGTATAAAATTAATGATTGATGTGATATTTAATGTAGCTGTAGTTTCTATTCTTACATTCTCATCTTCGTGATTCTTGCAGCCCTTCAATTGTCTGTGCAAGACAGTACAAGAGACCAGTCAAACCCGACTGACATGAGCAAGTTGTTGGCTGACCAGTCTTTTGTGTCATCTATTCTTGCTTCGGTAAGTATTAAGTTATACCCTCCACCCCACTATCTTTGGCCCTTTTACCATTTTTTCCCTTCCCACTACACACTGTATATTTTTGTGATCCAAAATCATCCTGAAAATTTTCATACTTTACATAATCACTATCAACCACACAATTCCACTTTTTCTTATATTGCATGCCAACACCCCATGTCCCACACTTTGTGCTATGGGGGGGGGAGTGTTACTCATTCATGATCCTTCTCTTAGTGTCAAACTTTTTTTGTGTGTAACTAAAGAGATGCTTCTGATATAATGATATATTACTAATGGTTGAAGTGCATAATCTTATACACAGCTTCCAGGTGTTGACCCCAATGATCAATCAGTTAAAGATCTACTAGCTTCCATGCAAAGTACATCTGAGGTGAGTTGATAGTATTTACTAGTCTATGTAAAAGAGCACATGTCCTATTTTGCCTTTATTTCTGCCAGTCTTCCAGATATTTATTTGTGCGATTATTATAGCTATAAGTTTAAGTGAATAACGGTTGAAGCGTTCTCCTTGGAGAGGGTCCCACTGTGAAGCAGGTCCTAAATGTAATACTTGCAAAATTGATATTAATGGTTTAAAAAATTGTATTTCAAAAAAAAATCAAATTTTAATGTAAAATAGAGTATATTCTTGTCATTTTCACCATGAGACTGTCTCACTCTCACCCAAGTTGTGGCCATCTAGGTTTACTTTATTACTTTGTATATTCAGTAAATTGAATGGAAGGAGCTTGTTTCAACTTTCAACATGATAGATGCTCCATCCATCCTTGCGTATTCATCTACTTTGACTTTTTTGAGACAAACTTGATGAATTTTAATCATCAATTACTTGAAATTTGTATTACATATTAATACAATGAAATAAATATCTGAAAGTTTTCTACAAGATAAATTAAATGATATAATTTTTGTATTAATATACAATAAATTTTTTATTTATTTGATGATCAAAATTTTTCTAGTTTGACTCAAAGAAGTCAAACAAGATGGATACTCTAGGGAGTATAGGGCGGATGTAGCATATCTCTTGTTATTGGTTTCTTATCTTCAAGATAACCATCATAAATATAGGAATAAACTAAACAAGGAGAATAAAAAAAATTAAAATTTAAGTTGGCAATGTTTTAAAGAACTTAAGTTGGCAACCAAGTCTAGGTGTGTTTTGTGTCATCAAACTTGGCCACTTTTCCGCCTTTCACTCATGATGGTTGGAGTCTACCTTATTTATAGTCAATTTAATGTTTTGTTTTGAAAACAAGAAAAATAGGGAGGAAAAAAGGCAAGAAAATGCATGAGTGAAGAGATTTAAGTAGATACCGTCCAGAATTTTGGTGGCTTTAGATGAAAGAATTTTTAAAGAAATAGAAGAGAAGAAAAGTTAATTCTTATTGTAATGACAGATGTACCCTTTATGTATATAATATTGTAAGGTAGATAAAACATTGTAAAGTCGAAATGGAAGTTATAGCAAAATGTTCTCTCCACTTTGAGAGATTATATTGGGACGTGTCCCGCATGAATCTACTCTATTCCCTCACTTTTCTCTCCATCCAAACAACATTTTTAATTTTTCGGGACAAACATCTCTCTTCTCCACTTTCTCCAAAATCATGCTGAAGAGACAAAGGGCTAAGGCCAAGCATTCAGGTGGGGGAAGGGTGTATTTGCTTGGAGTTTACCTGCAAAGTTTGATCCATATAACAATGTTAATCTTGTGAGTTTGGTACAAGTATATATAGTGGACCTTTTGTTTTGATGTTTTTTTCCTCGTAAATAGGAGAAGGATGAGGAGAAGGCTCCTAAAGAGGATGATAAGAAGTGATTGGGATGGGATATCTATGCTTGTCAATCCATCGTTTCAAAATTCTGGGAAGTACTTTTCAGCTTTTGCACATCTTTCAAAACAAGGACTGTGGCATTTTGATAAAGAGTAATTCTTGGAGTGGTGGAAATATGCCCTCATCAAAAGGACTACAGATAATGAATTTAGCTACACATTGTTCTTTATGCCGCAGCAGGGTGAGTTTGAAAATTTGAGTGTATTCTAACTGAGTCTATCTAGAAAGCAGAAATTGTTCTTAATGTCTGTTTTCTACTCTTCTGTGTTGGCCTTTCTTTATGCGAATTGCGGTTAATCTTTGTGTTTTCCTCTTAAGTGTACGAAAATAGAAATGTAACAATGCCACTTCTATACTTTGTTCCTTGAAATTGTATCATTCTCAAACGGGTGTGATTGGACATGAACACAGTCCGGGTTCAGTCCTGGAATTGCCAATAAGCAGAATGGTTAGAGACTCGTCGGTCTCCTTCCTGTTTGGGTCTATTGGCGATTCTTATTTCCTTCGTGATCATTCTGAATTAGGGAAGACAATCTCATCGTTACTCGATGGACATCTGAGCCATTTGACCTGATTAAATGGACCAGAATGTAATAAGATATTGATGACATACTTGAATGATGGATGGGTCAGGAGAGAGATGAAACATGTAATGGGTAATGGGTGGGTTTGGGTTACAAATGGATGAGGATGAAAGCTCCACTTGATTCAGACTCAATCCATAATCATTTTGATTTCAAAGCTTTTTTGAGTAGTCAGATTTCAATCCTTTTGCTAATTATTTATATATGGTTAAATTTTAATCACTTTATTTATTTGAAAAAATAATATCGTTACTTTCAACTATTTGAAATTGTTGCAGTCACCGTTGTGGTGAGTGACACTAGCTTAATCCCCTAGCATCGTTGTACGGATAACTAATTAATATCAATGGATTGTGTGGTCGAGATTTATGTAAGAGAGGGAGAGTCGAATAATATGAATTACGTAAGGATTTATTTGCATACCTGAATCCATTGAGTATTTGTAGAGTACTGTATGTGTAAAAGAGTTGGGTTTGATATGATGTTATCAAGTAAAGCTCAAAGCTCACCACAATTTATTTTGAAGAATATGCTTCTATTTATACAATTTTCCAAAATCGAGATTTATTCAAATTATTTTTCGCACCTTGATCATTTTGGTTCCCATCTTGGTTCAAATTTTCCAAAGCATTATCTAGTTGGAGAGGAAATTTTTAGTTAAAGTACGATCCAAGTCACGATATAGGTGTTTGACTTTTGAGACACTATTGGTCATAATCAAATAACATATTTCAGAACTTAGTGCACATCTATTTTCCACGCAGTGTTGATGGGGTTTAACCGTCAGTTTAGAACATGATCACTTGTCTGCATTTATATTTACTCCATCCGTTTGAAAACTAATGAACTTTTTACGTACATTTCATTGTAAATTGTACCAAAATCAAAATTTCATTTCTTTATAGAAAAACCGGTTGTATATTATAATTTGCGCTTGTAATGTCGACCTTAATCGCCGCCTTCTTCTTATTGCCCGTGCAACATCGAGAAGTGCAGTAGCAATGACGACAACGGTCAATAGAGGAAAAGCATTTGAGATCAATGAGAAAATGTAAGCTAGCGAGAGAAGGCATGTAAAAAGACCTTGGAATTGTGGAGATGATAGTGTGAATAGATAAAAAAATTAAAAAGAAGCTGACTGGTCAACTTTTGGTGGACCATCAGTCAAGGGTGGTCAATGCCAGGAACTGACAACAGATGACGACACTCTGGCTACCTCACAACAATCGGCGGCAATGACCGTAGAAGGCAGCGTGGCAGCGGCAGATGGTAGCAAGTCAGTTTCTTTTTTAGAATGATAATGTACATTCTTATTCCAGTATTAACATACTAACACTTTTGTTTTGATATTTTCATACTTGTTTAATCCTATTGAAGGAGTTTTCCCTACGTATTTGATGAGTGAGTCAAATGAAAGTGAGGATTGATACACATCCAGTGCTAAAATGGGACAATTTTTTGTACCTTGATGAAAATAAATAGTGATCATCCTATTTGGACCACTTGGATGAAGTGGAAACACGTTGCAAACATCCTTTGGGACAAAAGGATATCAACAAACCTAAAAAGGAAATTTTATCGAGAGCTCCGAGTGGCAGATATAGAGATGCTAAGGTGAACAGATGGTAATGGATAAAATCTGACATGAGGATATTTGGAAGAGGATGAGAGGGATATCTGGAGGCTAAGCTACATGAAGTTAGACTAAGATGCTTTGGGCACATACTAAGAAGATGTATAGATGTTTTAGCGAAGAGGTGAGAGAGGCTTGAGATAAGGGATGTGGGGCTATGTAGAAGTAGCCAGACCTAAGAAAATTAGAAAGAGGTGATTATACTAGACTTACAACTTTGGAACCTTATCGAGGATATTATCTTAGAAAAGAGCGTCTAGATGTCTAGAATCAAGATGGAAGACCTTTGGGCATAAGTTTGTAGTTTATGCGTGTGTGTTTGTGTGCCTAACTTTGTAGCTTCCGTATGTCATTGTTTTCGTATGTATTTTTGCTTTATTCATTCAACTGTCTTTTAACATAGTGCTCCTATGTTTTGAGGTGGTGGTCTCTTAAAAACAACCTATTGAACTTCCAAAAGTGAAGTAATCTCTGCGTACACTCACTTCTTTAGGCATGTCCACCTTTTTTCAATTTTTACTAAGTTTGTTATTATATTTTAAGACTTTTCTACAAATATTAAATAGCCTCTATTATGAATGGGTTTAAACACCAATTATTATCAATATTCAACCTCGCTAGTGTGAAAAAGTGATGTCTTTGCCTTAATTTTATCATTTAAACTTCATAGAATACATCATACACTCAAATTCCAATGAAGACTTGTACCTCATTAATACTTTGTGTGCTTAGTAATCACAATTCACAAATGAATTGTTCATTATGTACACTTCCATCTTATATGCTTACAAACTCGTAGTGAAAATATATTCACGTACCTACAGTTTTGTACATTATTTACATTCTTATCTTATATGCTTCCAACTCATCTTATCAATTTCCCATCTTGGATTGAAATATCAATTGAAGGTAATATAAAAAATCGATCAATGTGGTTCCTCTAATAGCGTTTCCGAGGGGCCACATTCCAGTAAATAATGTTGCAGGACTGTTGCTGTTGAGCCAAAGAATCAATTGAAGAGCAAAGCAGTCAAAGCTCATATTTCGAGTATGTCTATTTCAATATATATTCCACTTAATCCAACACATAACTAGTTTTTAACACATCTATTTCATATTAAAGTTCATCATTTGAATAAAAATTTTACCTCAACAGGTCAGAGGTGAATCACAATCCAAAAGAGACCCTTCGTGATTATAACTCTGATATAATAATTCAAGTGATTTAGATTCGGGAAGGATGTAGTGAACCCTAATCCAGAAGAGTTCTTGAGGTGGCTTTAAGAAAACGTAATTCATTAAAACTCACGCGAATGACTTCAACAAACATGACAATCATCATGATGAGAAGAGATAATACATAATATAGATCAGCAATTGCTAGATGCAACCAGCCACATTAGCTTCTGAAACTCACACTACAAGCAGGATGTACAATGAAGTAGATGGAACTGTGTGCTTCAATTCACGACGATGACATAATTTGTTCTAAACAGGTTATGAACAGGCCTTTACAATAGTTCTACTTTCAATCTATACAGGGCTTAAAACCCCGAAAAAAGAGCTAACAAGTTCGGAACCATTATAGATTCAGCAAGTCATAGGAATAGTCTAAGACTCCGTTTGGTACACAGAATTCAAACTATAGAACTGAAATTGGGGACAACAATTCTAAATCTGATGTTTGGTAGCACAAAATATGTGGATTTTGAATTGGTAGTGCCAAAAATGAATTGGAAATGTAGAATTCAATTCCATAGAATTTCAAAATCCCAATTCAATTCCAATTCCGTCAATTTCGTGTACCAAATGGACCGTAAGGGTGTTCATAGTTACTTGGAACTCTTCTAGGCTTTAAACTCAGCAGCAGCAGCCTTAGCTAGAGAAGTGGGTTTCAGAGAGCTTTTAGGGTTTAATGCTTTTCGGATTTTGAAAACAGTCCACGCGGTGCCCATCGCGTGCCCTGCAGCTTCAAGTCCTTCACTTGTTGCCTTTGCTGCCTCGTCCCCGTACCTATAAAACCCAAATGTTCAACTTAGCGAACATTTAATCATCACAACACACCCTTAATGTATCGTTGCATAATACTACTGAAAACTTCATACAAGTTAAGAAACAAAAAAAGTTTAATGTGTCATTTTCCTTAGGAAGTGCTGAAATTTACCTGTGAGAGACTAGTCCAGTGGTCACTGTTGATGATGTAGACATCACATTTTTTCCTGCTACTTCAACAGCATCGCAAATTCTACCTATTGACAAAAAACAGAGTTGCAGTTTAATTAATCATTCATATTGCCAAAGAAGTTAAGAAGTTTGAATAGCTTAACAAATACTCTGTACTCTGTATTTGTGTTGTGCTGTTTAGGACCTTAGGTGATGTGTTGTGTTCATACAAAAAATATGCCAGCGTACATGGAAAGAATGACTGATAGTTTTTACATTTTTGTTTGCAGCAAGTCAACAAGTGATTACTTATCCTTAGATTAGGAATTCACTAGTTTGAGAAACAAGACAGCTTTGATTAACACTATGGTTCAAGAAATTAGGAAGAAAAGGAAAAGAAAATGATTTCTCTCCTTTTCCACACCAAAATAGAAAAAATCTCGCTTTCCCTCTTAGCTTATTTTTGCTCATCTTTTTCTTTTCCTTCCACTTTTTATTTCTTTTCATCTCTAACCAAACATGAAAATTTGTCTTCCATGTCATTTTCTTTTCTTTTGGCTCTCAAATTTTTTGAACCAAAGTAGTGTAAAGTAGTGTTTTGCAATCATGACAAGAAGCGATAAATAAATGGGAAGGGATTGGGCATTTCTGAGCTTCTTGGGAATGTGGCAAGCCGGGTTTGAGATTTGGAACCTAGAACTAAAAGGATTTGCGTTGGAATATTCCAAACAGGCAGGGTATCCTAATCCATAAAATTTATGAAGACAATATTGCACATTGAAGTTATCCCGACTACATATGCACAACGATGCTAACTTGCGCAGGTAAGGATATGCGGATACATGAATAAAGGTACCGCGATACACTATTCTTGTTTGAATTAAGTCCATCTAAGTGTAACGTGTGAGTATATCAATCACATCAATACAGCAAGCAACAGAAGCATATGTCCATCATAGCATGAAAGTAAACGTTAAAACGAAGAGTAACACAATGCAGAGAATAACAACTAACGATTGTAGTTGGATACATATACTGCACGTCAGAAGGGAATTAGTTGAAGCATCTTTATTGAATTGACTAAAACATACCATACTACTCAAGAGGAAAGAATTGTGATAATTAGAAGACGTAGAAACAAGATTTGAAAAAAAGACAGAAATGCTTGACATACTGAATCCATCCAGTGTGGCGAGTACCATTTCCCCAGGCAAGAGGCTAAAGAACTTCTTTCCTACTGAGGAGTTTGCAACGGAACCGGTAACAAACCCTGAAACCTTCACAACTCCTGAAAGGACCCCAGTAGCAACTTTCTCTGTCATACTTGTCACCCTTTTTACCCTGCGAAAACAACCAAATGAAGACCGCAAAATAAATTCAATACAACTTTCCTCCAATCATACTCTGCACAAACTCATTAAGACATCCAAAACATGAAGATTCAGTCATAGAGACTGAGAAAACTAGTTTCTTTTTTTTTTGTGTGTTAGCAGGACATGTACCACCAATTCTGAGCTAGTTCTTTCGCATAGGTCAATCTAATTGAATTAAAAGAATATCATATTGGCAATTTAAATCAAACTAAACATTAACCACACCATGTTTTCAAGTCCAGAGTACTGATAAGATGAACAAATCTTTACATGTACTCATCGAATTCTTGATTTATAAGTTAGAAATGATGATCCCTACTACTCTGTATAATACAAATACAAGCAACCAGGTGATTGTATTGTATCCGTTTAGATATCACATCCTATTGAATTCATTCTCAAAGACTGCAAAGGAACAGGTAAGAACAACAACAAAACTTTTTACCCTTTGTATATTTTCTAAACACCAGCAATTGGAGCAACTTGGATAAATAGAATTGCAAATCGAAAATCCAAAAAGCATAAGTAGATAAGCAGAATTGACAATTCTTTTTGAAAGAAAAAAGCATATGAAGCCGAACCTCTTGATCCTTTTCATGGTCTGAGGACTAACCTCGGCATTGGAACCACAAGTCACCCTATTTCTCAGAACCTCATCGCCCCATTTCAATCGATCGACTGTGACATCCCCGCACCACAGAATCCCTTTTATCAGCTTCCCTGACCCGGAAGCCAGCAATTTTGCAGCCGAGCTACTGTAATCCTCAACATTGGGTGCCAATGTGGTCCAATAGGCTGCACACCGCTCTTCCAACACCTCCTTCTTATTCTCAAACTTCAAGTCCGCCGGGGACACCTCCCGGGCAACCCTACCTCCCAAAACGACCGATGCCTTTTCCTCCACCCTCTGAACAGAAAAGCTGCTGACACTGTCCAAAATCATATCCAGATCTTTGATCAAATTCTCCTGGCATTTGGAAGCAATTGTAAGTCCATAGTTCAATGCCTCATTTCCCACGCCCTTTTCTTCTTTTTTCTTGTGTTTCTCCTTCTTCTTCTTCGTGTTTCCTTTCTCATCGTCACTAGAATCGGAGTCACCTTCTTCCTTAGGAGCTTGAAACGAGAAGAAGTAATGCGATTCGTCCAGCTTAACAGACGCAAGGTCCTCGGTTAACGGCCATTGGATCTCGTCCGCGACCCTGGCGAAGACCGCAACGGTGTTGTCCCCCTGCCGAAGACGGAGCAGGGACAAGTCGCCGGTGGCAAGCTCGACGGAATACTGCTTATCGATCAAGTGAAGGATCGCGCCGGGCACAACCAAGAGGGTTTCTTCAATGGCCTCCGGCGGGGCAGAAGGGGTATGTGGATGATTTCCTTGGGCAATGTCATTATTCTCCGGGAAAATGTTCTCCAGGTCTTTCATGTCCACGACGGGATACATTGAGCGCCGATCGGAGGAAGATGACGAAGAATAGAACGGATTTTCAAAATCCGGGTCGATCACTTGCGGGTACATTGGAGCCCGGTTCGGTTCCTGAGAAGCCATCGGAGAGAAAATTAGGCGCTGGGAAGTTTTGCTTTGATAGAATTGAGTTGGAGAGGAGGAAATAGAAAATATGCAACGGGGCGTGACGTGTGTGGAAGAGAGTTGACTCCCTTTGATTATGAAAGATTTCGATACATAATGAGCAGGGGAGTAAATTTTAAAGAAATCTTCGTTGTGAGAAATATAAAACATACTCCTTCCGTCCCAAAAAGTCTTTCATGTTTCATTTTTTGCGCATCCTATAAAAAACTTCTACTCACATCTAAAATGCCTAAAATTTACAACATTTTTTCTTTATTGTGGGTAGAACTTATATTGAAAGTTTTTTTGACATTCAAGGCGGGATATAAGTGTTTTATGCAATGCGCAAAAAATGAAACAGGAAAGACTTTTTGGGATGGAGGGAGTACAAATTTATAGAAATGGAGTCTCATTTAGTGACATGTATAACAACGCAAAATTTGAGTGAATTCGGTTGACAACCTGGAAGCGTGACAACGCAAAATATTTAGAAATAAGGAACAATGAAGCAAAGAGAGGGAATTTATAGATTTAGAAGAATCTGCTGAGCTGAATACCAACAATAATGAATTGAAGTGATGGACCAAAAGACGTGGCCGCTACATGGCCACGTGATCTTTACGAGGAGACCTGGATGAATTACAACTCTAGGTGCAGAAATCAAGTTGATAGAAAATACAGAGATCATACGGTACAACAGATAGTCATTGTTTTACTTGGCCCAATGGCCAAGGTCATCCGCTATTGTCCTTGCTAGTAAGGGGTGTTCTAGAAGACTAGGGTGGCGGACGAGCTTGATCGACTTGGCACTTTCCTTGTTCTCGGAATTGAAGGTCGATGAAGAATGGAGAGCGAGGGAGGGGGGGACTAATGTGGATAAATAAAGGGCCATGCTTTTTATACTTATCCGTGGTTATAGTTGTGGAGATTGACAAATTTCAGGAAATTAAAAGTTTTGAGGAGATCTTGCTCTCCTCAGCTTCTTCCATCTAGAGACTTTGTGGAAAAATGTTTACTTCTAATGATTGTCGTTGCACTATATTTAAGAAGTAGACGACTCTTGATGAATACCTATGAGTGAGTATCCGGTCTATGAAAAAATATAGAAGATTGAGAGTGGAGGCCCAAACAAGGAGACTTAGGAGATGCCCTAGGTCATTCCCGGCACAGGCCTTGCATAAAAGACAATTAAGGCCATCCATGACCCAAGAGAAGGGTTGGAGCTCGTTTATATAATGATGATCGGTCTATTAGTAAAAAGACTTGGACGATTAGTTTCGTTATTTTGCCTAGGTGTTGGGGCGAGCCAGCAAATATATTAAACCAACCAGGGCCTATTTGTTATTAAGTGATTTGTGGGCTTGCACGTCATGTGTATTCGTCTATGAATAGTCTTCCTTGGTGTGGAGAGGGATCTAACTGTTTCTTTTAGATTTGCAATACGAAATCAATTATCATTTTTTCTCTAGATTATCTCTATAGAAACTCTCCCTACCCGGGCTCTCACGAACTCTTGAATTCTTAACTTATACTTATTTAAGTATATACTACCTCCGTCCCATTGTCTTTGTCCACTTTTGACTTTTGGAACTATTCATCTAAGCACTTTGACTCATCAAATTCTCTTAATGTGTAAGCCTAAAAATAGTCATGTGTGGTCTTGTTTGATTCGTCTTAACATATAGATTATTAATATATAATTTGTATAATTTTTTAATATACAAATTACAAGATAAAATGGATTAAAAAAGTGCATTGGATGGTGTGCCAAAAGGTAAGTGGACAAAGACAGTGGGACAGAGGGAGTATTATAAATAACTATTGATGGGCGTGAAATCCGTTCCCGTTGGACCGTTCCGAAAAATCCCGAATCCATTTTGTAATTGTACTGGTATATTGGGAAACATTTTTTTATCCCGAACTCGTTCCGTCCCAATATCAAATGGGACACGAGCGGGACAACTTAAATTTATACCCATCCGTCCCGTTTCATCTACTCTACTAATATATAATACTAATTTTAGTCCAAAATCAAAATGCACTCATTCTTTAATTAATTAGTTAATTAATTAAGTTAATTTCATATGTTTGAAATTTATTTGGACCCGTTCCACTCATTGTTTTTTGTTGGATGGCTAGATGTTTCTTTTTCCGAATGGAATGTCACCCTCTCCCCCTTCTTATATTTGTGATTAGGACAAAGTAGGACGACCCGAATCTGTCTCGGTTTATTCCGATCCCGAATTTTATGGGACAAACTGGGATAAGATTGTAATCTGAACCGTTTCAAACCATTTATATATAACGGGACAAGAAATGGGACAACCTAAAATCCGGACTGTCTCGATCCGTGCCCCTACTATTCCGTATAAAATAATTCTAGTTTTTTGTATAGGTTGAAAAATATAAACTTAATACAATTTGTGGATTTTGAACAATCTGATGACATTATTTTAATTGAACCCACAAGATACTGAACCGAAAAATAATTTTTCAAATGGCTATAGTAATTTATATTCCAATTGAACCGTATTCTTTTTAGAATGATACGAGATAGGTTGTCAAAAAATGAGAACTATAATCCCGAACTCAACCATTATTATTAAAATGTTAAACTAATGAATTAACAATGCCTTTAAGTTCGTAATTTTTCAGTACTTTTGTTGTTTCTTTGATACAACTTTAACTTACTTAATCATGATTTTTAAAATTACTTTAAAATTATGATTTGTCAAAAATTATAACTAATTAAACAATATGTTCTTTGACTAGGGATATAAAATTATATTAGTGCGTCAAACATATATTCCAAAAACACATGATTCAAAATTATTTTCATGATATTTAAATGAGTAAATTCTATACTTGGTCTTTTATAACAGAAAGTTTTTCATATTTAGTTCTTCATTATCAAGCTAAGTATTATCGTGGTGGTCCTTCTTTTATGAGTATCTTTCCACAAATAGCACTTTTTAAATCTTCTACCATGTTGATGTTGATTTGAGCACTAAAAGGGTAATTTAACATCAATTTTATGTCCAGTGACGTATTCTAATGTCAGTTAGACGAATTAAATAATAATAATGACTATGTCTGTGGACTAAGATTCCGATGAAAAACCACATCTATAGACTATGATTGTAGTTGAGAACGATTGCAGTTCACAAATAATGCTTTAAGAGCAACCTCTTAAATTGTGTATGACAAGAATGATATATGACCATTGTGAAATTATACGTTTATCCATCAAGTTAGCACCAACAAGTCAATAGATCAAGAAAAGGACTACTATTGGAAAGATACCCATAAAAAAGGACCACCGAGATAATATTTGAGAATAGAAGACTAAATAGGTGTTGGGGATTCCTCCAAGTTCCACACCGGAGGAAGAAGAAAAAATGGACCAAAATATATAGGTTCACCCAACCCCCATTAGTATGAGGCCTTTTGGGAGGTGCCCAAAAACAAATCCGTGAGGGCTTGGCCCAGAGCGGACAATATCATACTAATGCGGGGTTGGGGTGAGGGCACGCGCAGTCCCAACATGTGGTATCGGAGCTCAGGTTCTAGCGGGTGTGAGCAGCGGACTGTGCAGTGTGGATAAATCTCGGTGTGACGGTGTAACAATAGGACCAAGACCAAAAAAGAGGATCTGCACGTGGTGCCTTGTGTTGAAAGTCTTCCCGACGAGATGAGGTCAGACGGCGTGTCCCGTGAAGTTATAGCCACGGCGGCACAAGATGATTTGGCGGATCAAATGGTGTAGCCCAACAAAGGAAAAGATCTGCGGTTCGAGCCTTGTGTCGAAACCAACAATAGGAAAAAACCCTATTACAAAGGACCAATTTTAATATGGAAAATGCTAGGGTGCCACCACATGGGTGCTACCATGGGTGCACCCATGTGGTGGCACCCTAGCATGATCCTTTTAATATTTATACTTGTGCAATCCCTGAACAGTAACTTTTATATTTAAATAATAACTGTAGCACACTCTACACAAACAGGTAGGGGTGTTCATATTTAGGTTCAGACCGAAAAACCCGACCAAACCGGACCGATAAGTCCATACCGAATCCGGACCAAATAGATTTCGAGTCGGTCTTCGGTCTAACATATTTAACATTTCGGGTTTCGGTCCGGTCCGGTCTAAACCCGATTCCCAATGGGTCTAGACCGAAAAGACCGAAAATACTCCCTAGTCCACAGTCCAAGGCCCAAGTCCAATCCATAGTCTTTCCGTCATCTTCTCTTTTACGTTTCCGAAAAGTCCCGCAAGAGAGGTCACTCACCGTCCCCGATTTGATTCTCTTCCTCTCCAATCTTCTTTTCCATCATCTTCTTCCAACAATCTCCACTCCAGACGGATTCCACTCTCGCCCTCTCCAATCGGAAGTTTGGCACTTCCGACCAATCGGAAGTTGGTACTTAGGAACAATCGGCAGATGCTGTCAGCCCCATTCCAGGTGATAGCATATTTCCTTTTACCAGATTTTATTTCTCTATGATTAGATGACATCTTCAAAAATTGATTTACTTCTAATTTAATTGTTTCACCTGATTGTGAAGAATCCACTAAACAATAATTGAAGAATCTGTAATTGAATATATAAAACCTGTAAATTGAATCTACAAAAATTCACCAAAAATGGTTTTTTTAATCTTACGAAGGTGGATATTGATTTTGTACCATTGTAAGAAATTATTCAATTTGAGGAACTTTCCAAATCTAAGTAGAAGGTGGATAGTGATGTTGTAAGAAACTATTCCAAAATCCTACCCTACATGCTTTACTTCCTTCCCCAAAATGATTTGGTTAAACAACTGGAATGGTCACCAGAATTAAAATCTGAGCTCAGTTTAAGCATTGAATCGGTCCTTTCGGTCTGGACCGGTTCGGTCCATATGATTTCGGTCCGGTCCGGTCTAGAATCGAGTACATATAGGTCCGGTCTTCGGTCCGAGTTTTGACGTATTTCGGTCTTCGGTCCGGTCCGGTTCGGTCCGGTCCGGTCCAGTTTCAGACCGATGAACAGCCCTACAGACAGGTGCAACCCCTAAATTAGGGGTGAGCATGGTACGGTACTTAGCTCGTACCGATACCGTACCAAATATTTCGGTTTGGCATAAGATTTATACTGTATTGATTTCTGATGGGAATTAAGAAGTGAATACAACCACACCAAATACTAATTCCCCACTTGCAAGAGTAAGAGAATCAAAAACAGCAACAAGCTAATAGAAAATAAGCACAAACAATAAAGACACGATGCACCAGAATTTTTACGTGGAAAACCCCTCAAATCGAGGGTAAAAACCACGGGTCACAAAGACCACCAAGCAAGCTCCACTATGACCAGAAATAGGGTACAAGAGTGTCTCAAACAAGGGCTGAAATCAGTATAAAGATACTGCAAATATACTGCCACAACAAGGAGCAAGCAACTAGAGAATACGCAGAAAAAACCCAGAAAATACTGCCTCTGTTCAGATGCAAATATCTCTGCCTGCAGACCTTCAAATCCAAAACTGACCGCTGGAAATCAAGTTCAATATGTCCCGAACCTGCCCCTAAAATTTCAGAACAATCGGACACCGTTTGACCCTCCAAACATCAGTCTGAAAAACGCTGCGCACAGAAATCCGAAAAATGAATAGCTTCCTTCTCTCTCTCGATTTTACTGCTCTCTCTCGTTTTTCTACTCGCCACCCTAACTCAACCTCTTGTTAACCTCTTATTTCATCAAAGAATGGGCTTGTGAAGAATTGGGCTTTACTTGGGCCTCCACATAAGAAGTGAGCCCAAAACCCAACAATTTTGATCTCGAAATATCAGTTTGTTATGGTTCGAGATGGTTAGGTATCTGTTTCAGTATAAATCAAAATGAGAATACATACCTAGTGTACACGTTAAAATGTCACAAAGCACCTTTATTTTTGAAAATTGAAAGTAAGTATAAATAAAAAAGTTAAAAAAATAATATTTAAATGCAATAGATGCGTATCAAAACCTAGTATATATTTCACAAACTAAAAAAATGAACGATAACAAAGGAGTATTTTGAATCATTGTGAATATTTTTATGTTCATATACAAAAACTAAAACTCAAATAAAAATATAATTTACACATAATAGAATATCCAAATTTTAAAAATAAATTTATCATTTTGTGAAAAATATATAAATATTACTGGGTTATTATTTTATACTCCGTAATATATTAGTATATATGTTCGGTTAGAAATTTTTTGTATGAGACGTCATCTCGTACCTTTTCCAAATATCGTACCGACCGTTCGGTTCAGTACGGTTAGATACTTTTTTTATTACTCACTCCGTCCGGAAATGTTCTTCACATTTGACTTTTCTTGGTCAAAGTTTATAAACTTTGATTAAGATTTGTGAAAAAAACACATTGTATTGTGATGTAAATTTAATATCAATATATTCATAATGAAACATGATTTTCAAATATCAAATTTTTATAAAATATATTTATGTATAAATATAGATATTAATGGTCAAAGTACAATATTAGAGACCATGAAAAATAAAATGAGAAGAACATTTACGACTGAGGAAGTAGATATTTTTTTATTCCAAATACTAAGGAGTATATTTTTTTGGAGAAATTTCAAGATGTGTTCGTAGTTGTTCAATTGAGTGCAAGAAAAGAGGCATTTGGAAATATAAGCTCTCACGGCATATAGCTAGAAATGTGAAATTCAGCTATGAAGGACGACAACGAGGTAAACTTTAATATTATCATATCTCTCTTGGACGATTTTCATTCATTCAGTTTGGTGCTATATTTTCTTTATCGGAAATTTTATCTGCTGTTTCCATTTTGCGCTTCAAAGCGTCTGTCTATTTGTTTGTGTTTTCTTCATCTGAAATTTACAAATTGATCGAGTTTCTTCTTTGTAGTAATCATTCATTCAGTTGTGTGTAGACTATTGCAAGATTATAATGGGATTTTTTACTAATTCCACCTCAAGATTGTGGTGCTTCTCTGGTTTTAGGGTTACGCGTATGAGAGTATTGATCAAATTTGATTTAAGTATGTGTTGGGATAATAACGATAATGCGGATCAATCGAGAGTCGGGTATAGCATTTTCAGATTGAATATTTTGGTTGTTCAATCCAAAATTCAATCGGATAAAACTCGAAAGTAACAAGAACGAGTATGGGATTGCTGTGAATTTTCAAACACCCCTTCGACCAAAGATTTCCTGGAATATATAGAGTTGCGGTGGAGAAGAAAAGACGTGATTGCGTCTTTTTATTCAAGACGCGGGATCCTTCGCGCGAAACCTTTCGAAAAATCGGTGTTATCCTTGACGATTTTTCTTCTAAAGAAATTAAAATTCAAAAATAAAAATTTAATTAAATTTTTTAACATAGCACTTTACAGGACTTTACAGGTTTTGTTGTTGTTATTATTATTGTTGTTCTCTTTGTTAAGAAGTACTCGTCTAAAGTGCATAAACTTGTTTTCAGCCATTGTTGCTTGCCAATTACCAATGGAGTATACATCAATTAAAGCAGCATGTGTTTGTCTTTGTATTTCGTTTGTCAAAGAGAGGTGTATTTTTTCAGAGATCATTTCCATTTTATTACTATACTATAAACCAAGGTTTGATACCCTTTTAACTTGGAAAATATTTTATTTGTTCCTTGGTATTTCCCATTAGTTTTGAAGAAGCATGTGTCTAATCAGTTTCTGCAATCTGCACAGATTTGCTTTCAGTCATTGTTTACCCATTAGTATATTGGTTAAGGCAGCACCTTTATGCAATTCGAACCCCTGAAGTTCATTTGTTTGCATTTGTGGGACTGTTTGAAAGAGATCATTTCTATTTTACTCCTCTATTCCATATTAGTGTTGTGAAACACTATCAGACGGTCATTTGACAAAACAGAATAGTTAAGCCACTTCTTATCTTATACTCTTTAGATTTTCTTATGTAGTTTTTAAATATATAAATTCTCTTTTTTATTCTACACCAATTTTTTAACACATTAAAAATACTTCGTATTTTCGTAAAGCGAATCAGGAACAGTGTACAGGGAAGAGGGGAGTACTATACACCAAGATTTGACACCCTCCGTCGCAAATTAATTGTCTCACTTTCTTTTTTAGTCTGTCCCAAAATAAATGTCTCACTTCCGTACTTTCCGCCCACAATCTTTTTCTTTCCTCTAATCAAATTTCAACCACTCACTTTTAATTTTTCAGTACTTTCCTTAAACTCCATGAAATAAAGCCGGGACAATTAACTCGGGACGGAGGGAGTATTTGTCGTTTAATGTCTTTTGTCTTTTATTGCAGAGTGAAGAAAAGAAACAAGCTGCGGCAGATGCACTGTCTCAATATTCAAGGTTTGTAATGGGCTGTATTGGGAATCAAGTACGGCCTTGTGACTTTAGGATGCACTTGATGAAGGTAACAACACCATAGTATCATCATCATCATCATCAAGACCTTTCCTGTGTTTTTGTGTGCTGGAAAAAGAGATAACCCTGTGAAAACCTTTGAACATGCTTCAGGAAATTTCGAGCTTGCCAACGACTTTGAAGAGGGAGTCCCATGCAGCAGCAGCATCATCTCCTGATATAATTGGAGAATCTTCCAGCTCGGGTACATCCAGACTCGATAAAACAGAAAGTTTTCGAGGTATCTAGACTGGACCGCAGCATATTATATTATCCATATGTGTTATCATACAGTCACCATCCTGCTTATGCAACTCCTTCCTTTCACCCCTTTCACATTCTTGCAAGACATAAACCAATTGTCAGTGTGAAACATGGGAGGGGTATATTAGGCTCGTTTTTCAGTAACTATGGTTTGTTTTGAAAGTGTTTCGTGGCTTCTGTGAAAGCATTGTGTTTGTTTCAAGACACCTTTTGTCTTCTGATAAGCGATATTGATCCTCTTTTAGTGGTTGTTTTGCCCTTGACTGAAGTGTTGAACAACAGTTTAATTAATTAAAACAACAACTGTGCATTGAGCTCGACCACGAGAGAAGAGGAGCTGATGGACAATAAGAACCCTAGCCTATGTGCTTGATTGAGCTGGTGGTGGTTATACCGTGCGTATTTTCTACCGCATGAGTATGCTGGACAAGCACGAAGGGCACAGCGGCGGAGATGGTCTGCTTCAAGATTGAGTTTGTGGTGGTGATACCATGAGTATTTTCTAAATAAATCCGTACACATCCCAACATCTCAAATATAACTAATTTTATAAAGCATGACATCTTTCTTCCCCTTATGATAGAATTGAGTTGTTGCTTGAGGACAAGCAATATTTGAATGTGAGGAGATTGATGAATATTTAGTTTCAAACATAGCATTTCAAAAAAAGTCTCAGAGGAGTCAAATCCTCCTGTATAAGAGACGAATCTGGAGAAAATATCAGCAACCTTCATTCATGACTTCTTCGATGGGGGTTTCAAAGAAGAGGAGACACCATGTAAGGTAAGTTTGGGTAGGCTAAATATTTGAGACGGATGGTAAGGGCATTTGTGTCTTTTAACAGATGTAAAAAAAGTTCTTTGAGACGGATGAAGAATGTAAATGGAGAGGTTTCGTGGGACGAAGGGAATATATAATTTTTATTTTTTCATTTTATAATAAATTTCAAATAAATTAAATTTGCAATAATTTCGGCCAAAAATCATAAAACCAACTGGAACAGAGAAAGACATTAACTTGTGTTTTGTTTCCTTGTTCTCTTGTTTTCATGCTTACCCTAGTTCTTTGTTTTTCTTAGTTCTTTTCTGGTTCTTTGTTTTTCTTGGAATTTATTGTTCAGTACTAAAAAAAGTGCACAAGCATGATAAGATTAGAGGGGTTTTAATTGATTAAACTGTTGTTCAACACTTCATTCCATGCATGGGTGGGCCCGTAGGGTGTGCAAAGTGGCCAACCGCACAGACCCTTAAAATTTTAGGGCCCATATTTTTTTAAAAATAATTTTAAAGCAAAAGTATTCTAAAAAGATAACATAGGGCCCAAAATATAAATTTTGGATCAGGTCAATTTTATTTTTTCATTTTTCGGTGCCGGCCCTGGTTCCATGGCAAAACGACCACTAAGAAGCACAAAATTATCTATGGGTAAACACATTGCCAGTAGAGCTAAACTCACCATCAGTTTGTGAATCCATCCAAACTGAACACAAAACATCAGATTGAATAGCACACAATATAAGCATATATTGCTACTTGCTCATTTCCACACTATACAAAATACAGAAAATTGTTAACACAATGCGAAGTAAAAACATAATACCAGAAACAACACCCATGCCAACTCGCTACCAATAAATGTACTTCACAATGAGAAGTGAAGTCAATCACTCAAAACAAAAATTAGGGAAAATAGAATTGCTAAAACCAAAAGGAAAACATATTAAGAACATGGCTAAATGAAAATTATCTACTAAAATGATAAAGTGACAACAAAGAATAAATGTTTAAAAGACATAGTTCATGTATCTAACAGTGATGAAGAAGCCATTGAATTTGGAAGTTCTACAGAACATTTCGGTTTGGCATAAGGTTTATACTGTATTGATTTCTGATGGGAATTAAGAAGTGAATACAACCACACCAAATACTAATTCCCCACTTGCAAGAGTAAGAGAATCAAAAACAGCAACAAGCTAATAGAAAATAAGCACAAACAATAAAGACAGCTACGTGGTCTTAAAAATGCACCTTTTGGGGAGTTTAGCTCCCATTTTTGGTGCCCAGTGTTTGACCACCAAGCAAGCTCCACTATGACCAGAAATAGGGTACAAGAGTGTCTCAAACAAGGGCTGAAATCAGTATAAAGATACTGCAAATATACTGCCACAACAAGGAGCAAGCAACTAGAGAATACGCAGAAAAAAACCAGAAAATACTGCCTCTGTTCAGATGCAAATATCTCTGCCTGCAGATCTTCAAATCCAAAACTGACCGGTGGAAATCAAGTTCAATATGTCCCGAACCTGCCCCTAAAATTTCAGAACAATCGGACACCGTTTGACCCTCCAAACATCAGTCTGAAAAACGCTGCGCACAGAAATCCGAAAAATGAACAGCTTCCTTCTCTCTCTCGATTTTTCTGCTCTCTCTCTCGTTTTTCTACTCGCCACCCTAACTCAACCTCTTGTTAACCTCTTATTTCATCAAAGAGTGGGCTTGTGAAGAATTGGGATTTACTTGGGCCTCCACATAAGAAGTGAGCCCAAATCCCAACAAATCTCCCCCTCACGACTATGTGGAGGTGATCGCCAGCCTGGCGATCTCACAACAAACATCAAACTTCCGTTTAGGCAATGCCTTCGTTAGCATATCAACACCATTGTCATCGGTTTGCACCTTTGCTAACTCCAACAACTTAGCATCCAATACATCACGTATCTAATGATACCTCACATCGATGTGTTTTGAGCGAGAATGGGAAGTTTGATTCTTAGCAAGATGTAAAGCACTTTGACTATCACAAAGTAGTTTATACCTCTCTTGTGTAAAGCCAAGTTCTCGCAAGAATCTCTTCGCCCACAGCATTTCCTTGCACGCTTCAGTAATAGCAATAAACTCTGCCTCTGTAGTGGACAAGGCAACACACTTTTGCAATCTGGACTGCCAAGAAATAGTACCTCCCGCAAGCTTAATCAAATAACCTGAAGTAGATTTTCTAGAATCAACATCTCCAGCCATATCAGAATCACAATAACCAACAAGTAAAGGTTTCTCCCCACCAAAACAAAGTTTCACAGTAGAAGTACCCTTAAGATACCTCAAAATCCATTTTACCGCATTCCAATGCTCTTGATAAGTCGGGTTTGGTTTGGTTCGTTTTATTCTTTTTTAGGCATTTTTAATATTTTTAGTGTTTAATTTCTAGTTGTTTTGCTTAGTTTCATTTTAATTTTAATTTTCACAATCTTTTTATTTTCTTTCAAAAATAGTAGTTTTTAATCATTTTTTACATTTTATTTTATTTTTCCTAACCCAAGTTATCAGATATCTTATTTTTGGAGAAAAAATGTAGCAAAAGGCCGAATCAGAAGTCCAAATTTTAAAGGAAAGAGATTGAATTTGGGCCGGAGCCCAAAACCCATCATTAAATCAATAAAAGAAGAGTAGTCCAACACTCCACTCCTCCTTCCACACTATTTTCACGCAAGAAAAGAAAAAAAAGAAACGAACGGCGTTTCTTCATCGCAGAGAGGAACGAGTAATACCGGCGAAACATTCAACACTCCAACGTTCGGCTCCATCAATTGCACGACAATCAATTCTCAACGGGAAGAAACCTCCTTGCTATAAATTAAAGTGCAATTGCAACTGAAAGAGCGGGGGAACAACGAAGGGGAAACACACGAGAATAAAGCAGCGGCCAAGACCAAAAAGACTCAAGGACAATATCAAGAATTGAAGACTTAGTCGAGTCGGTCTTTTGTGATCAAAACCGACAATAAATTCAAATCTCGGCTCTCAAAGAGTCAAAACAATTTTTACAAATCATAAAATATTTTTTGTGCATCAAAATAAATATTTCTGATGATTTTTTATTGATTAAAATCCCTGGTCCTTGCTCGGAACCTAAACCACCTAAGTCGGCGTTCGGCGTTCGGCTTTCGGCGTTCGGTTTTTGGCACCCGAACCAACTCCGTGGTTTTCAATTTTTTAAACCCTGTTTTTACCTCAGAGCATTTTTAAAATGTTTCCAAATAATTATTTTATAAAAACCACTTTTGTATCTTGGTCAATCGGTCTAACATGTGAAAAACGGTCAAAACCGTACGCACGTGATGTACGACCTTGGAGACTTGGTTTTTACCCAACAAGTCTTGTTTTCACTATTTTATGCCATATACAATGTTTTTCAAACTTGGGTTTTACTTTTGGGAACACTTCGTTTTTGGACCTCGGTTTTTCAAAACAGGTTTCAGCTGGCTAGACTTTAGGTGGGTGATAATCGATTATCACCTTAGTGACAATCGACTATCAGCCCCTGCAGCTTTGAACTTCCAAAGTTCTGAAGCACGCAATAATCGATTATCACTTATGTAATAATCGATTATCAGTCTTTGCAGCCAAAACCCAGAATCTTCTGAGAGGACCAATAATCGATTATCACTTGTTGACAATCGATTATCTGGGTTACCGTTGTCCTCCAACGGATAGAATTTTAAATTTTTGGACAAAGAATCTTTTGATAATCGATTATCAAGCTTGTATAATCGACTATCAGCCTGTGTCTCTGAAAAATTTGTCTTCATCCTGTTGGAAACTCTAGCAACGGGTTTATCCCATTTTGGGCTATAAAATGGCACCCAAATCCTCTCATTTTACACACAATTCTTCAACATTTCAATACTCCTTCATTGCATAAGCATTCCTATTTTTCTTAGCTATTTGAGAGCCTATTCTTGAAGAAATTGTCGTGTTCTTGAGCATTTACTAGTTCACTCATATCTACTCTTTGTGAGAGTTTTACTCCTGAGTGTTTAAGTGTTTTCAAACACTTTAAGGGAGGTTGTTCCCTTTTTGTAAACTCGAAGGAAGTTCCTTGTTCCTTCGTGAGAAGTCTTGGAGTGCGGTATCTCCGAGCAAAGGCGTTGAGGCTCGTGTGACTCGAGTTCTCAAGTTGTATCGGTTTGTTGAGCACCTTTAAGTTTAACGGAGTTAGTGTAACTCGAGAGAGTCTCTCGAAAGGCTGGATTAGCCACACGTTGTGGTGAACCAGGATAAAATTCGGTGTGCTCCTTCCTTACGCTCTTTACTTTATCACTCTCGTTTTTAATTTCCTACGATTTTGTTTTAAACGCTATTCACCCCCCTCTAGCGTTGGGCCTTTATTATAACAATTGGTATCGGAGCCTTACTCTCTGAAAGACTTAACCGTTTGAGAGAAACGATCAATGGCTTCTACTCAAAAGTTATACGCAGGTTTAGGAGAAGGGCAATCCACCACGAGGCCTCCATTATTTGATGGAACAAATTACACATATTGGAAGGAGTGAATGAGAATTTTCATCCAATCCAACAACTTTCTCCTATGGAGAATTATCAAGAATGGAGAAGAAGTGCCCATGAAGAAAGTTGGGGAAACCACCGTTCCCAAAACCGAAGACGAATACGATGCGCAGGATATCAAGAAAATAGAG